TCTCTCTCATTGTCTGGCAGCTGAACGGTGCAATCCTATGCAAAGTTACCCCAATCTAAGTCTGTTGGTTTCAGTTGGCTTAAATTGAAGTAACTCTGCAAAGGATTGCACCATAAATGTACTAAGATCAGAAGATGCGCTCACATCTCCATTAAGCTCCTTAAAATGTGTAAAGCGTTTTCATTTGTTTCCAAACATGCACAGTTTTTCCAATCCTAAAAAACACACAAATCAAAAGCTAGTTTGGAGTTAAAACGTACACATTCACACAGAGGTGAGAAGCACTGTTTGAGTCCCTCTTTGTTTACTGTGTTTGGCCTGGCCAGTATAATTCCCTGTTCACAGGGAATAATTTGTTCACAGTCTGGCACTGCCCATTATAAAAGGCACAATGTTAGAGTGAAATTCATGCACAATTCCCAGTCTCACTGACTTCTCTCTCTGCATAAAGCCATGCTGCAGAGGCCTGGCATGCTTCAACTTTATGAAAACTGGATCCTTGCCATACCATTCCTCTCATGTTACACACATACACATACACAATGTGCTCATCCCGAGTAGCCTGGTGATAGAACATTTGGCTCTCCATATGGAACAAAATCTTTATGTTCACTTCTCATTAATGATACATTTTATGTTGAAAATGGCTTATTCAAATGTATGCAAAGTATAAACGTGGCAGGGGTGACACGACAAACCTTACCAACTTCTACCTATTATATTCTTTGTCAACTTTTTGTGCTTCCTCTGTGGAAACTACAAAGTCTTACTATGATATGAGGTGAGGTTTCTTTCTGACATTCACAGCTGCAGATCATAAATTTAGGAGCCACACATACTTAACTAAAGATGGGATTAGGAGACAATTTCTTTTCTTTTTTCCAGTTCATTCTCTTTAATCCTTTAAGAGATCTTTTCAGAACCAAAGAGTAAATTATCAGATACATAAGTTTAAGACGAGACTTCTCAGTAAAATACAAGCTATTAAAAAAGACTTATAAAGCACTTATACTTTAAGAATAGGGTTGCCAAGTGGTTTTTACTTACTGGCGGGGGATTCTCGCTGCGCTCCGGGAGCCGTTCCTCGTCATGCGCGCGCGCTGCCAGCACGTCACCAGAAGTGACGCGCAACATCGCTCACGTTGAGGGCATGGCCCCGATCGTTGGAGGGAAAACCATAGAGTTTTCCCTCTGACGATCAGGGCCACGCCCCCAACGTGATCGACGTGGTTGTGTCACCTCTGGTGACACAGCCACGCTGTGCTTCGGGGGACGGAGTTCCCCCCGGGGCCCAATTCCGCGGCGGCGGAAATCGGGCCTCCAAAGCGGGGGTTTACCCGCCACCCGCCCCCACTTGGCAACCCTATTTAAGAACATAGCAAGAGCCCTGCTGGATCAGACCAATAGTCCATCTAGTCCAGGACCCTGTCTCACACAGTGGCCAACCAGTTCTTCTGGACGGCCAACAACAGGGCATAAAGTCCGAGGCCTTCCCCTGATGTTGCCTCCTGGCTCTGGGAGTCAGAGGATTAGTGCCTCTGAATGTAGAGGTTCCCCTCAGTCACGATGGCTATTAACTACTGATAGATTTGTCCTCCATGAAATCTAATTCCCTTTTAAAGATGTTTATGCCTGTTGCCATCATTACATCCTCTGGCAGTGAATTCCATATTTTAATTACTCTCTGTGTAAAGCAGTAATTCCTTTTGTCTGTCCTGAACCTACTGCCCATCAGCTTCATTGGATGCCCTCCAGTTCTAGTATTTTGGGAGAAAGAAAAAAAGTTCCCCTTGTCAACGCTCTCTGCCCTTTACCATGTCCCCCCCAGGCATCTCTTTTCTAAACTGAAAAGACCCAGACTCTCCAGCCTTTCCTCATAGGGAAGATGTTCCACCCCCCCATTCAACATGGTTGCCCTCCTCTGTACTTTTCCAGCTGTGCAATATCCTTTTTGAGGTGACCAGAACTGTACACAGTATTCCAAATGAGGCTACACTATAAATCTATACAGGAGCATTACGTTAAAAGCGCCGACTCTAATCTGGGAGAACCGGGTTTGATTAGTTTTTAATCCATAAGAGAACCCGTCCTCTTATCCCATGACTACTAAATTTACTCAGGAGTCTTTGGTGAGGTACCTTGTCAAAAGCATTTATAAAACAATATATTCAGCACACGTTGTTAAAATGTAAAACAGAAGTTCTAGATTTCATGTTATCTAAAATCTGGAGTCTTGCATGTAGACTTGAAATTATGGAAAGCAGGTGGGGGAAGGAAGAGAGGGGGGCAGCATGGTATCATAAACGACTAACCCTAACCCTACCTCTTCTGAAAAATAATAGGACAGGTACCAACCCCCCTATCCCCTCAATACACAGCCAAAATAATCACAATCCATCAATCAATACATAGAGTATCCCCAGCAGGAGAGGACAGCATGCAGACACAAGGCTTTACCCACTGGTGTGGCGGTAGAAAGTGCCATCAAGTGACCCCATAGAATCTTCAAAGCAATCGAAGTAGCTTGCCTTTGCCTGCCTCTGCATAGCAACCTTGGAGCGATTTCTCACTAGAGCTGCCTCGCAGCACAGCGCCGTTTGCCCCGACACAAACATGTCAATTTCACACCCGAAGCTCTGGGGCTGCATTTTGACTCGGGGCTTCGCCTGATTTCCTCCGCAGTTTCGTGATCCTGGTTTTTGAGGATCATGAAACTGCGGAGGAAATCGGGCGAAGCCCCGAGTCAAATGCAGCCCCGCAGCCTCGGGTGTGAAATTGACATGTTTGTGTTGGGGCAAACAGCGCTGTGCTGCGAGGCAGCTCTAGTGAGAAATCGCCCTTGGACTTCCTTTGTGGTTTCCCCTCCAAGTACTAACCAGGACCAACCCTGCTTAGCTTTCCAAGATATGGTGAGACTGGGCCAGCCTGGACCATCCAGGTCAGGGCAACCAGTGGGATACAGAAGCACTTTTTAAGGGAAGAAGAATTGTGCTCTGAGGATGCATTCTTATTGATATTTTTCATTCAATGGGTAAATCAGTGATAGAGAAAACATTTACCCCCCCCATCCCGCAATTTATTCAGTTTTGCCTAAATGGCAAGCCAAGGGTGGAAGGGAAGAAACGCTCTTTTAAAATAGACGACTTTCTTTAAACCTAATTATTTGAAATATTCATATGATCAAAATAAAAGCAGTAGAACTGAAAGATTAGGACAATAAAAATGCAGCAGCAACAAAGGGCTTGAATTAAAAATGCATTTAAAACACTTAACTTTGTTCTTTGTAAACTGCAGTGACCTCTACTGGATTAATCACTAGACTTTTTTGTGTGTGTGTCTTTGTACACTGGCACAGTTCTATTCATTTTTACCCAAGTCCTTCTAAATCAAAATTTTCTGAAACTATAATTATTTTCTAACATTCAGAGGTAGAACTGTGACAAAATTGCTTACCTATTTTTTGTTTGCAGAAAATCAAAATAAGCAGTATTACTATGCAATCCTACAAAGACTTACAGCCTTTTAAATCCACTGATATCAATGGCCTAGAAGGGTATAACTCTACTTAGGATTGCACTGTTAGCAATTTGGAGGGATTTAAACCTCATAGTGTATTTTTAAAAATGTTTTAAGATTTTTCTGCAAACCTGGGAGATTCCTTGGAGAAAAATCTCTGTTTATTTATGTATGAGGCAGGCTCAGGGCGGCTTACATTAGAAGTTAAAATACATACACATTAAACGTATATAGATCTATAGATAAAGACATGCGGTACCTGTAATAAATGTATAATATTAAAGAATTGGGAAAGGGGCTGACCTAAGAGGGAATGGGAAGTTTGAGCACTGTGGGAAGTCAGAAGGGGGGGGGTGTATGGAAGAAAAAAAGGATATGAGATAACTTGTTATATGAATTATAAGTGTACTTATTGTAATATCCTAATAAAGAGTTTTTTAAAAAAAGAAGTTAAAATACATTAAAACACAGATGAAACATCGTAAAACTCAAGTACATAACAAATAAAGTGCTGCTGGTGGTATAACATTACATGGTGATCTGAGTAGGTCATGTTAAGATGGTCAGCATCTCCCTTGTCAATGTGGGTCCGATCCATGGATATAAGTATCCACAGATGGGCCCACCCTTGACTATCAGTATATAAGATAACATTATTAGAACAATTAATCTGAAACACAGAGATAATCAGCTAAAAATTATGTACCAAGTGTGTCATTTAAACTCCATGGCTCCGATCCAATGCAGAATGTAAACAGCAGCCAGGGCTGAATGCTGGGAGCTCTTTTTTGAAAAGCTAAATTCCACTGATCAGCCCCCTGGCAGGAAAGCAGCAACAGGAGGGCAGTGTTCCCTCTAAGCTGAGTTAGTGTGAGCTAGCTCACAGTTTTTTAGCCTCCGGCTCGCACATTTTTGTCTTAGCTCAGGAAGGACCGCTCCAGGGCAAACTAATCTATGCAGTAGCCAAATCGCTCGCTCACAACTGTAAAGCCAGTAGCTCACAAAGTAGAATTTTTGCTCACAACACTCCACAGCTTAGAGGGAACATTGCAGGAGGGTATTCAGTCCAACCCCTTCTTCTCCTTCCCATTTCATACGAATTTAGGTTTTCAGCATGAGTCGCTTCAGGCCTCAGCATGAGTTTTCAGCATGAGTCGCTTTAGATGCTGGATCAGAGAAGGATCTTCACACAGAAGAACAGTTGCATATGTGGTTCCTTACACAACTAGGGATACTACCTCGACTTGGGGAGGGGCTGCTGTTCAGAGACAGAGAATCTCCATTCAGGAAGGATGGAATACAAACGTACTACCAATGTAATACTATACTAAGCAATGAGGCCAGTCCACAATGGGATGCATATCTGGAAATATGCTTTCCGTATCTATGGACTGAGGGTATGCAAGGGTACAAATATTCTCATTAAATAAACAAAATGAGATAAAAAGGCTTGGGGGAAAAAAGATTAGTAGCTTTGAATATACCTAGTTTCTCCAAGGCAGTGTAAGAGATGCTACTGGATCATAACCTGTGACCATTACAGACAGAGGACAAGTGGACAGCTTGAACCAACCAAATTTTTGATTGAAGGATGAACCCTGAAATGATAAATAAGAAGCTTGTTAGCAGATACACCCATGAACATGTGAAGCTGCCTTATCCTGAGTCAGACCATTAGACTAGCAAAATTCAGAGTCAGTATTGCCTACTCTTGAGTGGCAATGGCTCTCCAGATTGTCTCAAAATGGGTAGCCGCGTTAGTCTGTCTGTAGCAGTAGAAAAGAGCAAGAGTCCAGTAACACCTTAAAGAGTCCAGTAGCACCTTCATGGGTCACTGCTCACTTCTTCAGATACAGCTAGAATGTGAGTCCATCTGTCCTATATATTGGAAAGTGGAGTGATTTCAGATGCCAAATGACATTAGCAGGCAAATGATAACAGAAGGTGTGATAGGATTAGGGGTGATATGCAGAGAGGTAGGAGGTGTGGAGAAATCAGCATTGGTAATGAGACAGGAAACCTGGGTCTCAATTCAGTCCAGCTGGATGCATTGTCTTGAGCTTCATTATCAGTTGCAATTCAGCAGTCTGTTTTTCTAGTCTCGCTTTGAGTTGTGAGCTGTAGGTGACCACCAGTTGTGTTCTGTTGTCATTTGGGGGGGAGGGGTTGTAGCAAGCTGTCCCTGGGGATCATTCTGGCCTTTCCAATCATCTTTCTCACCATATCAGGAGGATACTGTAGTTACAAAAATGCCTGTTGCAGATCCTTCAAGTGTGTATCTCTGTCTGAGGGGTTAGAGCTGATGTGACTATAGCGTAGGGCTTGGTTATATACAATGGATTGTTTGATGTAGTTGGGGTGGTAGCTGAAGGCATGTAGATATGTTTCCTGATCTGCTGAACACCACTGGTAGTCACCTACAGCTCACAACTCAAGCCAGTTCAACGCATTATTAACCTACAACCCATGTTGAATAGTGACACTTCCCTCACACAGGCACTGGGAGGACTGACTTTTTCTTGCTTACAGACAACCTGCTAACCTAAAGCAGTTTTTCACCCACGATGATAAACTACTTAACAGTAACATGGACTCTGGTACCAAGGCCTGCAACAAACCAAGATGCCAACTTTGCTCTCGTATAGATCCTGGCAACACCATCACTGGACCCAGCCACATCAGCCCTGCCATCTCAGGTTCCTACTCCTGCCCATCCTCTAATGTGATTTATGCCATCACGTGTCAGCAATGCCCTTCCACTCTCTACACTGGACATAGGCCAGTCCCTTCAACAAAGAATTAATGGACATAAGTCTGACATCAGAAATCACAACATTCAAAAACCAGTGGGGGAACATTTAACCTTCCAGGACATTCAATTGCTGACCTGAAAGTAGCAGTTATCTTACAAAGGAATTTCAAAGGGAGATTAGAAGGAGAGACTGCTGAATTGCAACTGATATGTTCAAAACAATGCATCCAGCTGGACTGAATCAGGTTTCCTGCCTCATTACCAGTCCTGATTTCTCCACCCCTACTACCTCTCTGCATATCACACCTAATCCAATCACACCTCCTAGTGTCATTTGCCTGCTAGTGTCATTTGGCATCTGAAATCAGTCCACTTTCCAGTATATAGGACAGATGCACTCACATTCTAGCTGTATCTGAAGCAGTGAGCAGTGTCTCACAAAAGCTTATACCCTACCACATATTTGAGTGCTACTAGACTCTTACTCTTTTCTACAGATTGTCTCAGTAAGAGGTCTTTCATATCACCCGTTACCTGATCCTTTTAAGTGGAGATGCTGGGAATTAAACCTGGAACTTTCTGCATGCAAAGCAGATGCTCTACCACTAAACCACAGCCTCTCCTCATTGTAATTTAGCTAAGTCACAAAATAAGATCACTGCAATTTTCTATTTAGTACATATGATAAGAACAAATATTTTAATCTTATACAATGCATCTGAGAAGCAATGGTCATAGTCAATCATTTAATATTCAGATTAACTCACAAAGTCACTAACATATAGAATTCAATATCACAGGATGCAGTGTATGCCCACTGGTTTAGATGGCTTGAAAAGGGGATTACAAACAGTTATGGAACATAGGTCCATCAATGGCTATTAGCAATTTACCACTCTGATGCAACAAATTATTGCATGAAATAACAGAAAATGTACATCACATGAAGCATTGTTACATTATGTTATCCCCTATCGCTTTTTAAATTACATTTCAATTTTACATAATTATATCTCATCCTGTGCTTCCTGCATTTCATAGTCCTTTGACCTTGCTGTTTACAACTCACGGCATCCTTAACTTCATATATATGTTCATATATATGTCTGTCTAGTGATAATCTGCATTGGATGATGTGGTCCACAAAGCTGCCATAAGCATCCTGTTAGTTTTTCATATTTGCAAGAGTTACTTGCTAAATTCAAGGTACTAACCAGTCAAATTATTTTGTCAATTGAGCAAGGTCTTTAAAATTGGCACCCGATCACAATATTTCACATGTGTCATGTCATCCATCCACCCACTCTTTTCAATGGCAGCTGTAACCATCCACAACTATCTTAATCTTTCATCTTCCTCAGTACATCTTCTCCACTCCATTCAAATTAACATATAGAGAACTCTCACAAAACTTTCCCAGCCACTGTAAATTCACTCTTGGAGAACATAAAATATATTGTTTTATAAAATATTCAAGATAAAGCATTACTTATCTGCCATCTCCCATCTAAATACATTTGTCACATAAAATACATATTATATTCTAACTCATCCCCAGAAACAACACAAACTGCCATCTCAGTAGTCTCCAAAGTACAGAGTATAAGCAATGAGTTATTCTCAGAACTGTGGGTGATGTAGAGATTGTACTGGAAAAGATGTATAAGGGAAGAACACATAATTGATGAAGAAGAAAGCAACTGTTAGTATAGGTCAGATGCATACCTGGATGAAAAGGAGAACATTACTTTTTTATAGAAGCAGGAATTTCTGCAGCTACAACGTTTCTCATCTCTGCATTATAACTGCACCCATCAAAATTCCTCCCCCTGTTTAACTATAAAAGCACAATTCTGCCTTCTTCGAATTTGGTTGTCAAGATCTGGCATCTGGTGGTAACCAAGAGAAAACCAGGAAAAATGAATGCCTTGCAGGTCAGCTGAAGTCCACTTAGATCAATGAGTTTCTGGCATTCACCCAAATACTTTGGTTTAAAGGTGCTGTTAGAGTGTTCTTACAGGAATGGTGTGTAAAGGCAAGGCAAGGCTGTGAGACATCTGTATTAGAACTGGGCGGGGGAGATTATATATGAACACAGAGTGTGACAAAGGAATGTCTTAAGAAAGACATTAAAATAAGGGCAAATGTGCACTGATATGCAGTTTATATTGCTGGGACAAAGGGGTTTGATATACAGCAAAGGAACATCTCTGTAGGATAGGGAGCACACACAAAAAAGGCATGTTTTTCAAGTTGCATACACACACAAAGTTGGATAATATACAGACTGCCAAACTAGAAAACAATACAGATACTTTGACATTTGTAATTAGTTGCCTGTTGAGAATGGCATATACCCTTTAAAGAGGCAGTAGTATTTGAACAGACCAGGTCGGGAGTCAGCAACGTTTTATAATTAAAGAGCCATTACATCAAAATTCAGAGCAAGAAATTAACTGAGCTAGCATGAGTCCATTAGCATAATTGAAAACATACAATTTAACATTATTGATAACTGACATGGATTAATAGTCAATAAAGTTTCCACAGCTGAAACACTAGTTGTTGCAAATCCTTTATCAAGAAATGACACACATCAAGTGTCCTAATAGATAACAAACATACACAAGAGCATCCTACATAATTGTTTTAGTGCACTGGCATAAATCTATGCATAGTTTGCACTTGGATTACTGGTAACTGTTCATCCCTGTAACTTCCTTTTCTGTTAAGGATCTCTAAGGATAAAAGAAATCTCTGCCTACCATTCGCTTCACATATTGGTCATTCTAGCATCCCACCCATCCCTCCAACACACCTTAAGGTAAAGATTTTGTTTTCTAAACAGCCATTATTTGATTCTGTATTGAGCCATGTTGTTGTTGACCCCAGAAGTAGGCTTGCTTGCCAACCTCCAGGTGGGTCCTGGCAATCTCTTGGAAATTCAATGGTTCTGAGATGACTTCTTGTGGAGGAAATGGCTGCTTTGGGGGAATTAACTCTATGGCATTATAACCCACTGAGGTCCCTCCTTGAACCCCAACCTCCCCAGGCTCCACCTCAAAGCTCCAGGAATTTCCACACTCTTAGTTGGCAACCCTATGGGAAGACTGTTCAATTAAGGGATTTCCAAAGGAAACAAGAAGAAAATACTACCATACCAAATGGTGCCTGGTGAATGGCCAAGGAATACAAGCGAATGGAGGCTTTGCACACTGGGTATATCCTCGCCTGAACAGGAAGAAGATGGCATGTTGGGGTGGATGGGGGGGAGACTGAAGGGCCCGGTTAAGGACCGGGGGAAACGAGTGTGTGCGTTTTGGGAGGCGGCACAGAGGGAAGGAGCACAGAGGACCGTATTCCCAGAAAGCATGCAGAGCAAAAGATGAAGTCTAGTAGGACTGGGCATGTCGGTGTACCTGGTGCCCTCCTTGGTGCGATCCGCGGGCAGAGTCATCGCATTTCCCAGCTTTTCTCGGAAGCAGACAGAAGCGCGTCTTTCCTCCGGTCTCTTTTTTCTACCGACAGTCTGCCTTTTGACAGGCGCGCACACTCACCCTGGTTGTTCCTTGCCCCGCCGCTGCTCTCGGACTTGCAAGGCTGTGCCGGCCTGGGTTCCCGCAGCCGCTTCTGTTTCCCGCCCAGCAGGCGCCTGCCTTCTCTCCGCCCGACACTCACCCTGGGCTGGAGAGGAGACTGAACTCGGCAAGGTTCGCCCGATGGCTTCAGCGCGCCTTTCCCTCCCTCCCTCGCTCCCTCCCTCGTAGACACACCTCCTCTTCTCCACCGCTACCCTCAGCGCCAAATCTGTTCCCTTTCTCTCTTTCCGCATCAGTGTTCATATGC